TTGACAGGATTTCGTTTATATGTCTGCATGAAATAAAAGAAGTTTTACTTTAAATGAAAAGCAAAGAACAAGAACCTCCTATATCATTCAGAAATACAGAACATCCTCTATTGATCTGGTGTTCATGGAGTTCTGATATTCCATTACATGAATGTTCAGACATGAGAATATTGGATCGATCGAGACATGACCAATATTGATGCAATGCCTAAAAACACGAAACAGTATCTTGATGCTTTCCTGCAATTATGGAGCAAAAATGTACATTTTCATATTCAGTTTTGCCAAAATACGCCTCATTACATTCAACTCAAAGACGGGCTGTTTGTTTGTCTTATCTTCCACATGAATCTCAGCACAGGTTCAGACAGGAAACCACTTTTTATGACTCATCTATTCACAATTCTCTCTCAGCCAGTTCCTGCTTTTATCAATCAGCTGACTGCGCGGGCATTTTCGGTAATCCAATTAGATTTCGCCATAATGAGCGAATCACGTTGTGGCTGTCGGTTGTCATTTCAGCTATTCGATTCCAACAGAGTCAACTTATCATCTCACATAGATTCTCTGCATTCTCTCCATTCCATCAATGATCACCTTTTCTACACAGAGCCCCACCATCTTTCAATGGCAATAAAAGTTTGTTAAATTGTCAACTGACTGAAATGGCCAAACATTGTTATGATTAAACTAATTCAGAGTTTGTTTTTCAAGACCACTGTACCACTTTAGCCTCCCCACAGTATTTCTAAACTAGTAATTATTTCAATGTTTAGAAAGAGTGGCCACGAGAAAAAAATGACCTTCTACCATTGACAAATATCTTAAGTTATTAGCTCCTCCCACTGCAACATTTTGGTCTTTTCCCCTAAGTGAAATGTCTTTTCTTGGAATGGGTAGCCCTTCTCCCAGCATTGAAGCTGAGCTTGCGCTGGATTTCAGCAGGTGATGATTTCTCTGCTCTCTTTGCCTGCAGAAACAAGTTGTTGGCAGAGAGGAGAACAGGTTCAGCCTCAGTCCAGTGACAGCTGCAGTGCCCTGAGCAATAAACCATGACAGCCGGCCCAGAAACTCAGGCCACACACACGTCCTGAGGTGTCAAAAGCCTGGAAACCCAGGGACGTGACCAAATAGTAATAATTATAATGCAAATATTAAAATTAGCTTCTAATTCTTAGGGCCACAAGGGTTTTTTAATGTCCCGGTTTGCATGCTATAGCATTGCGGTATATACAGCATGTTACCAGATACACTGTATTTTAGTTTCATTTGATTGGAGTCAAACCAAAGATTGGAGTCAAACCAAAGATTGGAGTCAAACCAAAGATCTGGTAAAGTGTGGGATAATCAAATTCTGATCCCAAAATATCAATACAAAATTTCAGTATAACTTTTGTGTTGTGCTATGTTGTTAGAGATCTGCCACTACTGGAAATGACCAACAAACCTGTGGTTCAACTGCTGAGGAGGAATTCTGACCAAGTGCTCAAACAATGCAGAACTCTGGGAATGTGGTGCTTCAGGTTCTGGTGAATGGCCATCGACAAAACTTCACAACTCAAAGCAGTAGTTACTTTATCTTTCATCAGCGTTCATGATACAAACCAATTCAAATTAAGAAGAGGTCATTTTGTGCTGCTCTGAATGCAGCATTAGTCTGGAAAACAAGCCACAAATGAATTCTCAAATTTGTTCTATGATCTGTACCAATAAAAATAATTGTTTGTGTGACATTAGCAGTTTCACCTTCAAACTGACAAGTGTTGCATATGTTGCATGCGATCCTGTTTAGTGTAATTTGCGGAGTGAGACTTTAATAGAGTTTTGGTCAGAAATCAAACCCACAGAGAGGACCAAGCCTATTTTCCACACGTATCCATGGTAATGACGACCAAAAATAAGGAAAGAGAACTGCAGACCACAATCCGACACTATTCTCAGTTCGCTCTGCTGCGCTTCCTCTCAGTTTTAGTGTTTGGTTGGCAAACACTGACCACTCTGACTCACAGTTAAGAAGACTGGAGAGGTGGCCAGCAGTCAAGACTAGACGGACCACCAGCGCACATAAGCACATCAAAAACCGACAGACAGACTCCAAGTAATGATGGCAGTGGGTCGTTCAAAAACATTACGGCACATTACAAAGGGGGGGGGGGGGTTCGGGTAAGAGGGGTAATTCAAAACTCAACATAGAGCAAAACAGAGGAACACCAACAGCTGCTGTCTAACCCTAATACAGTGAGTTTAAGTCTCTTCATAGCTTTGAGATTGATAACCAAGCACACTTGAATGTACATTCATAAATAATCTTAACTTTCTTTCAGCGCAGCAAGTTGTCAGACAGCCTGAAGAATCAGATAAGTGAACAACACAGTTGTCAATGTTTTATTTGTGGAGCTTCAAGGAAGTAAAGCATTCAAACAAATACACCGTTAAACAATAAGTGGATAACAGCATCTCCAGACGCGAAAATAGCATGTAAATATATAACGTGCTCTAGATATTGTGTTGAGGCTTTGATTCACATAATGTTCTCCTTCTCTCACTGTTTCTCTCACCCTTCACTGCACATTGAATGATTAATAACTTTAATCACACCGCGCCAGTGCAAACATGATCGAGACCATGAGTCACTTCATGTGAGAGAGTTTAACGTGAACGAGGTCTGCTTCTCTTTGAGAGAATCAGAGCAGATAAAGACAGACAGCAGCTTGTGTGTTTTCGGAGCTGCGGGGCCCAGCAGTGTTGCGCTATGCTGCCACAGTGCCATGGGGAATTCCTGGTTATCGAGTTGGTAAAAACGATGGCGGGCAGGAAATGGAGCATGCTGGGTTGAAGAAAGCGCAGAGGAAAAGAGAGAGAGAGAGAGAGGGAGTTTTGAAAAATCTCAACTGAAGTCGCAATGATGGCGGCTTTAATGCTACAGCTATAACACGGGAAGGAGTGTGACAAACTTAAGAAAAAGCTTCAGATCACTGACCAGGAACCGGAATGTTGGGGGTCCACTTCTTTGGATTTGTTGTAGGTGAAATGATATCCGGCATATTATCCACAAAGAGGAGAGGGGAACATTCAATATTCCAGTTAATCCAGGCTTAGATCCACGTGTTTGTATTACACTCCAGAAGAGAATGAACAACTGAAGAGTTCCTTCACAAAGCAGAAGTAGGTGACTGCCAGCCTTTTAGTTAGTCTTTAAGTGAGGGAGGAGTGTGAATGTGTGTGTTCCCTCCCGCTCTACTCTGCTCTGTCTGTCTGTCCGCTGGCTCCAGGGATGTGTGTGTCTTGTGTGTGTAGCCTGCTCATTTCCTGCCTGGATGTGCTTCTGGGCTCCAGGCGGGCAGGCTGCGCAGGAACACATGGCCAGCCACTGTTCTGCCAGGGGTTCCGCATTCCACCCACACACACACACGCACGCACACGCAAGCACACACACGCACAACATTCCCCTATTAGCTCCCTCTATGACCCTTACCAAGCCCCCCTGCTGTTACTAGTACTCAAAAGTACACACACACACACACACACACACACACA